TGAACAAGGGAGACGAGGTGGTCCGGTATTCCCATCTCTTGCATCACGTCGAACATTTTCTTCCAGTTGATGCAGTCAAAAGCCTTGGCGTAGTCAATGAAGCAGAGAGCCATCGGGACGTTTAACTCCCTTGCCTTTTCGATCAACTACCTCATGTTTAAGATCTGCTCTCTGGTTCTTCGACCCTTAATAAAACCCGCCTGCTCTTTTGCGATTTGCCTATTGATAAAACTCTCCAGACTTTTATTGACAATATGTAGGAGAATTTTACGGACATGCGAGATTATGGAGATAGTCCTGTAGTTTTCACATTTGCGCGTGGAGCCTTTTTTATGAAGGGGAATTAGTATTGATTCCGTCCAGTCTTCAGGCCACTGGCCAATACGCCATACTTTCTTGCAAATGGAGTGTATAATCTTGGTACCATCCGAGCCTAGGCTCTTTAACATTAGAGCGGTTACGCTGTCCCTCCCGTATGCTTTCTGCTTCAGCCTATTGATTGCTGCCTCCACTTCTTGAAGAAGGAGATCTGGCCCATGTTGGTTATAGTCCATCCTTTCTTCGATATCATTGCAGCCCTTTTCGCAATATAGCTATTGGCTGTATCTCCTCCATCTATCTAACGCAGCCTGCCTGTCAATGATGAGACTTCCACGTTCGTCCTTAATCGTCCAGGTTTTCCGCTTGTACTCTTTGGCCAACAGCTTCACTCTGCGGCATATGTCCTTAGAATGTCATCGCAGACAGCATTTATATTAGCAAGGTTACCTGTTTCTACTGTTCCCAGGTGATTTGCAGAGTCGAAGGGATCTACCGAAAAATCACGCAATCGCTCCTTAATGGCATTGGCAAACAACTCCTGTGCTCCACCCGATATGTCTACCACTTTCCTAGGTTTCTGCTGTTTGATTGACTTAAGACGGATTTTAACTTTTGCAACAAGTACTTGGTGGTCACTGCCACAATCTGCACTTGGTCTCGTCTTAACATTCAGGACAGATGATTTCCATCGTTCTCCTCTCATAGCATAGTCAATCTGGTTTCTATGTTGACCGTTAGGGGAGATCCATGTATACAATCTTCGAGGATGATGCTGAAACTGGGTGTTCATGATTGAAACATTGTTTTCCGCATAGAAGTCGATGAGGAACTGCCCTCGCTCGTTACGAGTCCCTAGCCCGAGTTTCCCGACTTTGCCACGAACATGGTCGTTCATTAGCGTATTGCCTATCTTGGCCTTGACATCTCCCATGAGAATTGTGACTTCCTTCTTTGGGATATCTTGGTACTTTCCCCAAGCTGTTGTAGAAAGAGTCTATTTCATCCTGGGTTGAATTCGAGGTTGGTGCATATACTTGTACGATATTGATGGAATAAGGGTGGGCAGATAGTTTTAGTGCAATGATTCTGTCATTGCCTGCATTGTACCCGATCATCCTATCACGCATTCTCTTTGATACTAGAAACCCAACACCGCTGAAGTTGTTCTCTGGATTACCCGCACTGAGTCTCAGCTTACCCGATGCCATGACAAGACGACCCGTCTCTCTGAGGTCCGTGAGGTGAGTCTCACTTAAGCCCATCACACCGAGGTCACAACTTTCCATCTCTCTGCAAAATATTTCGATTTTCCCAGGTCTCAAGAGTCCGCGAATATTCTAGGTGCCAACATTAAGGATTTGTTTATGGCCTAAACGCCCTGTGGTACTAGTATTGGAGTCAACAGTAACCCAATTTCTATAAGCAGCCTGATAACGCACAGATCGTACGCATAGCCGGNACACTACACAATATTTTTAATGAATAATTAATTATAATAAAAGAATTTAGAAATAGTGAGGAAAATTGGTAAACGTCTCACTTCAATGAATATCTGACCCGAACTGAGCCTGGTATGTTCTCATGAAATCACTGTGAGAGAGCTTATGATGAGTAAGGTGTTTGGTAAGCATTAGTCTATACAGGCTAGGGATATAACAGTACGCATAGCCGGTAACCAACTTCACACCAGAAGACCCGAACTCGTCCTGGCGCCGAAAGTCAGTCGGACCGCTCGACATACTAAACATCCTTTTGACTTTTCTCATGGTGGTTTTCTTGGGAAAAATAGTAACGGTAGCTTCCCATTCCTTTCCGTCCCAAAACTTTTTAGAGGGGATTTAGCCCCCTAGGCCACTGCAGCCTCATGGAGATATGGTTATCCCGCCACTGATCGGTCGCCATTGCCTCGTCCGTTGTCTAGCAGGGAGCACCATGACTACTAATCGCCGCAGTCGCGCGCGCAGGTGAGGTTGACATTTGGGGCCGTATCAATGGTAATTACGTTCACCCCCTTACTCCGCCTATATCAAAGGTTTCTATATCAAAGTGAAATTCAATTCATTTCCATGAATGCTTCACTGTTTATAATAATACATATATTATTATATTCATAAAATTGGTACCTACCCATTTCTTTTTTTGTCTTACTGATGGTAATATTATAGCCCGAGAGCCCGTGGGATCTACCTGTATGTATTTGACCAGACCTGAATTTTCGTACATTGAGACCCCTATACCTACCATGCATGAGGTGGGGACTCACTAAGCTCAAAGTGGTCGACGCGCCGAGCGCTCAGGTAGGACAGGTACCGATTTTGACGGATTTTAAATCCATTTGACCACGTGTGCCGTTTTGAAATTTTGAAAATATATGATTATTATTATCGGAAAATAAGAATGGCAGACCATTATCGCGCATTTTACTTTGTGGCAGACCACTTTGAAAACGCTAAAAAAATAAAATTTTGAAAGTAATTGACCAGATCTGCCATTGATATAATAATATGTTGTTTATTATAGTCTTAAAAACTTATATTGATCACGGCAGACCTCTACATTGCGTACACACATCAACATATAATAAAATCTTAGCTACTACCCGGCCAGATGTAGGTATATTATGTTTTCCGTTCACTGTTTTAGTGGAATATAATTTACTTGCGATTTACTTTAGCAATGTATTTACCGAAATTAATATTTTTTTTATATTCTATATACTAAACTTCATTAGTTAGACAATAAAGAAGTGAATTTTTTATGGAATAATTATAAATAATACGGTATAATGCTGATCAAAAAATAATTCAATTCCTCATTTTTATCATTCAACATTTAACTTGCCAGCTATACAATGCCAAAAACTCTAGTGATGTAGATGATGGAAGGTTCCAGCTATTCGTTCGCAACTATAAAGATTCAGACATCAATGAAAATTATAGAAAAAAATTCAAAATTTTGAGGCAAGCTCAATACCACCGCGTAAGAGCTTTATCAACAACTTTTGAGGGCCCACTATATTTCTTCTATTTGGAGAAATGCTTACAAAAAGCAACCCACAACTTTAGACCCATTGGAGTATGGTTGGATTGAGCAGGACAACATATATGCCTTCAAAGGGTTCGAAGGTGACCAACTTCCATATTTTGTGAGTGACTTAATCACCAATGTTCCTGGTAAGTTGATAACAATTCTTTCTCGAACATATTCAGATGAATTTACGTTCATTTTATAATTGATGCTTTACCAGTTTTTGCAGTATTCGATTCAATGGATGATGATGATGATGATGATGAATAAAGATTGATATATATATATATATATATATATATATATATATATATGTAATGCATGCATGATATATGTTTTTAACTGATTTAACACTTTTAAATTTTGTCTTGACGAAATAAAAATGAGGAATTGAATTATTTTTTGATCAGCATTATACCGTATTATTTATAATTATTCCATAAAAAATTCACTTCTTTATTGTCTAACTGATGAAGTTTAGTATATAGAATATAAAAAAAATATTAATTTCGGTAAATACATTGCTAAAGTAAATCACAAGTAAATTATATTCCTCTAAAACAGTGAACGGAAAACATAATATACCTACATCTGGCCGGGTAGTAGCTAAGATTTTATTATATGTTGATGTGTATACGCAATGTAGAGTCTGCCGTGATCAATATAAGTTTTTAAGACTATAATAAACAACATATTATTATATCAATGGCAGATCTGGTCAATTACTTTCAAAATTTTATTTTTTTAGCGTTTTCAAAGTGGTCTGCCACAAAGTAAAATGCGCGATAATGGTCTGCCATTCTTATTTTCCGATAATAATAATCATATATTTTCAAAATTTCAAAACGGCACACGTGGTCAAATGGATTTAAAATCCGTCAAAATCGGTACCTGTCCTACCTGAGCGCTCGGCGCGTCGACCACTTTGAGCTTAGTGAGTCCCCATCTCATGCATGGTAGGTATAGGGGTCTCAATGTACGAAAATTCAGGTCTGGTCAAATACATACAGGTAGATCCCACGGGCTCTCGGGCTATTATGGCTTATTGTAAGTGAGCACAGATAGGTAGGTACTATCCTTTTTTCATATTAAAAATTAACCATAATAACAAGTAGATAAACTTTCTAATAAATATTATGTCATTAATTAAGAATAATAAACCGAAAGTCAAATTTGAATTGAATCAAATACAGTTGAGTAGTCATCAAAAATGTGTACTGCAGTAAATCCTTCTTCTTTCTTTTTCTTCACCTTACCCCACTTGGTGGGATCAGCACAGCTAATTTTTCTCTTCCATTCTCTTCTATCAGCCGTCAGCTCAACACTCACTCCTCTCTCTCATATCGTCATTCACATACACCACCCATGTCTTCTTCAGTCGACCTCTTCCTCTACCTTGCACTACCATTTCCATACATCTCCTAGTCACATGCATGCACGCATCTTCTTCAGTAAATTGATATTCACTAATAACATTCACAGGCATGATAGTAACATTACGCTTTATTGTTTATTGACTAATTAAATTACCGATTTTTTTTATCTCTTCAGAAAATATGACAGATTTGTACGATGTGATTTGAATAAAATAAAATGTGAACGTATTATAAAGAAAAAAAATAACCCAACATTAGAATATATTTTCAACATACCTGATTTGTAGTTATGCTCAACTTCAAAGTAATGTTGTCATTTAATTTATATTGTAGACTTGTAGAGTGATCGTTTTCAGGAGCGGAACTCATAGAGTATTACTTTTTTAATATTAATATTACTTTCGACCAATAAGAAGAAAGTTCTCATCACTTTGTTGTTCGACTGAAGTAAATAAGAATTTTTAGAAGATTTTTAACAATTATACAATTTAACAATAATAATTAGTATACTTTATCCAAACTTAGCGGATCAATGTAGTAAACAAACAGCACTTTTCAAAATATCACGATTTTTACACTCGAACACATTATTTAATCATGTTAATATGTCTTAAGCCGCATAAGAAACATCTAAAGTACATATTAATGCTGAAATTGTTTTAAATTAACTATATAAACATATCATTTATCTAAATTTCAAAAAATTTTTGCCACAATAAACAGAAACATGGCAATTTGCAATTTGACATTTCGTAAATTTATCGGTTTTTTTTAAATGACCTGGTAACTAGGATATTTAGGTCAAGTCTTATTTTAATTTGAAGGAAAACTTTTTTTAAATGAAAAAGGATATTATGAAATGAAATGAAGTTGATTAATATGAAACATGTTGTGAAACGAAATGAAAACAAATTGAGATGAGATGATATAGGATAAAATATAATCTCAGTAAAATGGTGGTCATTTACTGAGACTTTTTCGGTGGCAAAAGCGTTATTTACCACTCTTTTAACATGTATGATGTTTAAATACTCAAATTATTGTGAAATTCACGTGTATTATCTATGAATGTGAAAACCGTTTTGAAGTCGTCGCCGCGTCGTGGCCTAAAGGATAAGATGTCCGGTACATTCGTGTTGAGCGATGCACCGGTGTTCGAATCTCAGGCGGGTACCAATTTTGAATAATGAAATATGTACTCGACAAATGTTCATGGTTGACTTCCACGGTGAAGGAACAGCATCGTGTAGTAAAAATCAAACCCGCAAAATTATAATTTGCGTAATTACTGGTGGTAGGACGTCTTGTGAGTCCGCGCGGGTAGGTACCACCACCCTGCCTATTTCTGCTGTGAAGCAGTAATGCGTTTCGGTGTGAAGGGTGGGGCAGCCGTTGTAACTATACTTGAGACCTTAGAGCTTATATCTCAATTTGGGTGGCGCATTTACGTTGTGGATGTCTATGGGCTCCAGTGACCACTTAACACCAGGTGGCCTGTGAGCTGGTCCACACATGTAAACAATAAAAAAAAATTTGAACTGATCATGAAAAGTTGATTTCTTTCATTTTCTAGAATTATTCATTCATCTACGGTGCATCTCTATGATTTATAAAGACTATAAGACTTTTCTATTTAATTTACTATGAATTATAAATGGAATTGTAGTTGAAACAAATATGGTGTTGCTCTGAAAACAGCGATTTTATTATTTTAATAACTTACAATTACAACTTAATAACATACACAACAGAAATTAACAGTACATTCACATTATAGGTATCTCGCCTGAAAACACAGAAACGATATTAAAGTCCACCACTCTCAATTCCCTAAAATAATTATCTAATTTAATTTATAACAATATGCCCGAACATGGAAGATGTCATTCCCTTCATTAACAACGCATGTCACCATTGTCGACAGCGCCATCTATATAAGTGCACAGGAGCTATAGAGCGCTGTGCAAATGATAGTACATTTGAAAGAAATATAGTTTCTTTACATCACCTAGCCGCTGGTGTGATCAAATCACCACCCTAACTGGACTGCCAGTCGCAACCGCCCTACGAGAAGCTGAGGACCGGTCGAAGTAGAAACAACTCACGAGACAGGCTACGGTCAAGTTTCAACGACATGACCTTCAGTACTGAAGAAAGCGACAAAAAAGAAGTAGCTTACGTCCGATGCTCATTTGGAGCATACCGTTCAAATGGAAAAAAAAATTGTTGGCTTTATTTTTTATTGATTAGTTTATATTTGTTCGCGACGGACATAAATAAATGCAGCTTGATAGATATTGTTCGCGACGGACATTGATAGTTTAATAGATAAATAGTTAAAATAGAGAATATAGTCATAGGTTGGCTGTAAAATAATAGAAATGTCCGTAATAAATAGTTATGTTAAAAATAAGTTAACATAAAATAGAGAATAAATAGTTATAATAGAGAATGTCCGTGATAGACAGTATGTTAAAAAATAGTTAGCATACAAACTTAAATATAAGTAAATTTGTAAATATTATGTGTTTGTAAATAAAGATTGGTCCTCGTGGTCTTTAATTTGGCGTGGGAACGCAGGAGCGAGTCACAATACGGGCGACTAATAGAGCGACTAGGCAAACAATAGGCGAGCGAGGCGGCCGAGAGAACAATAGACGCCCACCGTGCTCGGACTCATAATAGCGCTGGCCGAGTGCGCGTGGGCGACCATAAATAAGGGGCCTACCTCGCTGCAAATTCAGTTCGAGACAGCGAGCCGACGAGTCCAGACCTCTCCAAAGAAGAGGAGAGCGCCAACCGAAGAAGAAAAGACTCGCTCCTACGCCCTGCGCCGGTCAAGCCACGAGGACCGTGTGAACGCCATACTTGAAGCCTTCGTTATTTTCCTCGAACCAATCCCAGCACCCGTTCCGCGACGGCCACTGCGGCAATACTCGAGCCACCACGTTTCAACGAGAGTAAGAAGTCTAAAAATCACACGTGGTGGCCGAAACCTGAGCGGTGGCCGTCCGGAATAATATTCAGCCTAGACAAGGGGCAATTAGTTCTATATTATCAACCCAAGCTTGAAAAGCAGCCTCAGCACTATGCTGGTGCTTTGATGACCCCATAATTTTGCTGATTTTCACGAGATACAGCAGTTACTTAAAATTATTGTGAGAGTGGGACTTAGTAAATTTTTTTTAGAAAATTTTAGGTTGTTTTTTTGGGCGAATTAGTTGTAAATGAGAAAATATGAGATTAAATCATAGATTTATCAATGCTTAGGATGTACAATCTATGGGGAATATCTCAAATATCAATATTCATATATCTCACCTGGTCACCCCACGTCATCCCCAGAATTTGAAATATTGGCCTAAAGGTCTGGATATCAGGCCATAAGATTCTCGAATATATTAAGTGTATAATCTATGCATAAACTAAAAAAAAAAGATTTTGAACTTTTTGGCGGGAACGCGAGGAGTGAAGTTGTGTGATTTGTTTTATTTTGTCTATTTAGTGTTTCTTCAGGTTTAAATGTGTAATAATGGTGGTTTATTAACTGTTTAATATCTGTGAAAGTGCACAAATGTGGGAAAATGAAACAAAGCCGCTGGACGTAACTTCTCGGGTGCCTCCAAAAAGTCCACTGAAAAAATCTCAGTAAATGACCACCATTTTACTGCGCTTATATTTCATCCCATATCATCTCATTTCATTAAATTTCATCCCAGTTGATTAATGTCTCAAATTAATCATCTTCATTTCATTTCACTCTATATTATCATTTTTCATAAAATTAAGAATATAAAGTAAAATAAGACATGACTTAAAGGTCTTAGTTACCAGGTCATAAAACCTCTTAAAAAAAAAAGATTTTGAAATACCTACACACACAGTCAAACTAATATTATTTTGTTTGAGAATTTATCTAAAAATAAGACTAGGAATATGAACGGAATCAGAATAATTAAAAATGTCAATTTGCAGTGGCGGTCTTTATCAAGATGGTAAATTTATATTTCCATTCTTAAATTACTATATTTCTTTTAGGTTATGATAAATTCTCAGTCTGATTTATACATTATTAATCCAAAAATCTCATTTTCTTATATATATACATGCATAAACTGGACAAAATACTTTCTATTTCAATACTTATTCAATTTTTAAAACATTTCAGTTCTGTTCTTCGGCAGGAGGTAACACAAACAGTCACACCTCTGACTATCCCAGTTCCTGAAGGCGTAGATAAACCTGTTTCGCCTAAAATCGAGAAGATCGTCTCCGAAATTACTAATTTAAATCTCTTGGAAGTATCAGAGCTGAGTCAAGTATTAAAAAAGAGGTTGAACCTGCCCGACGCTCCAATTATGCCAATGGGCGGATTCGCAATGGCTCCAGCGGCTGCTGTTGATGAAGAAGAGGCAGCCCCGAAAGCTGTGAAGACCAGTTTTACAGTAAGTTATTTCAAATTATTCATAATTGGAAAATATACACTTTTTATGAAATAACCCAGACACCTCTGAAACAAAAACTTATATAGGTACCTTATGGGTTTTTGAATAAATGTTTCTGAACAGGTACTTCCTGTATTCTCCATATTTTAGAGTAAATATTTATATTTTTTATTTGCTTCAAGTGGATAAGCTCACACCCCTTTTGGTTTTAAGTGATTATCTACCTCGCCTTTCAAACTGAAACTCATTACTGCTTCACACCAGAAGTAGGCATGTTCGAGCTCTCAAGACTCCCCACCACCAGATATAGCTCTAAAGTGTAAAATGACAGTACTTAACCACATTCATTAAAAAAATCATAGATAATTCGTAATTCTTCTGAGATTACATAAATATATAACTTAAATTCAGGTTAACATTTAAAATCTACATTTCAGGTTAAAATGACGAAATTTGATGACAAACAAAAAGTGGCACTGATCAAAGAAGTCAAGGGTCTTCTTGAAGGATTTAATTTAGTGCAGGCCAAGAAGTTTGTCGAGAGTGTACCCACAGTAGTGAAGGCAGATATTTCTAAAGATGAAGCCGAGAAACTAAAAGAGGCATTAACCAAAGTTGGAGCCATTATAGAAATTGAATAGTCATAGATATAAGTTGCATTTAGTTGATAATAATAATAATTTTGTTTCATTAGTTGTCAATATTAAAATATATATTATGTGAAAATATTTCATTATTCTAATTAGCTGTGCACACAACACCTACCAATATTAAATATACTAAAAAATACCAGTCTTGTGCAAAAAGTGAATTTTATGAAATTTGGTATGGAAATAGTTTGAATCCTTAGAAAAATATATATCGACGCTTGAAAGGCAGATGTGACTAAGCAACAATAACTGCTTTGTACATAAATGATAGGCAATAACCATATTCGATGTCCAAAAAAAAAAATATTTCTCGGTCTATTAAAATCATTTCAACCCTGTAGATGTCGCTAGATTCGTTAAAATAGATTTTATTTCAGGTATTTCAACTTTAAATTAGTCTACTGTAAAGTTCACGCATTGTCGCTTAGTCACGTTTGCCTTTCAAGCACCGATATATTACCGTTCATCCAATACTGATTGGTGTCGATCTGTTGTGTTTTTGTAACACAGGGCTACTGAATATCCCAGCTTGTTTCCACAGAGCATAGTCACAGAAAGATGTTTGAACTTAGTGTGAAATGATACTCTTGTGGCTTGTTTCCAGACGAGAATGAATTGAAATACCATTTAAATTTTTGACCAAACAATACTAGTAAGAGAATTAATTGAAATTTCATTTAGATTTTTGACCAAACAATACTAGTAAGACTAATAGGTACTAGAAAATAGAATTCCAAAAAATCAAACCATAATAAAGGAGAAATTACCTAAACTTCCAATGTAATGTAAACAATGTGACTGTCTTTTTATTTATTGCTTAGATGGGTGGACGAGTTCACAGACCACTTGGTGTTAAGTGGTTACTGGAGCCCATAGACATCTACAACGTAAATGCACCACCCACCTTGAGATATAAGTTCTAAGGTCTCAGTATAGTTACAACGGTTGCCCCACCCTTCAAACCGAAACGCATTACTGCTTCACAGTTGAAATAGGCAGGGTGGTGGTACCTACCCGTGCGAACTCACAAGAGGTCCTACCACTAGTTAATAAAATGGAGCGGTTCATTTTACCGATTTCATAGTGTCACTAAATACTGTACATTGATAAGAACACTATATGAGTCGACTATTATCAAAGCCGGCAATGTGACTTTTGGATAATTATTGGTAAATCAGAAAAACGAATTATTGACTTTGTATTCCATTGGCAGTCACAAAACTCTTCTGAACGACATCTTAGATAAATAACAGGTTAAGTATTAACCTTTATTTAATGCAGGTTTTGAACCGTATTCTTTGAAGGAGACGATTATATTCNACAAGACTACTACATCTGCTGATTTTATGAAAAAGTGGCCTGATTACTTAAGTGACTGAATAAACAGAAAGGATGAGTTCAAGATTGGTAGTATGAAAGGATGAGTGAATTATATTGTTAACCCTAGTTATAGTTCTATTATGTTACATTTATTAGCATACGATGTTCTAATATCCTTTTATCATAAGATGAGTTTTGTTTTTTTAAGTTAGTTTTGTTGTAATATGTTCAGTCTTTAGTCATATGATGTTAATGTAATAGTTGTTAATTGTTTTGTTTAAGAATGATTTATAACTTTTTGTATAACTTTCTCTATGTTGTAAGATGTTAGTGTTATAAAAAGGTAACTCTGAGGACAGACTTACGTGCAGGACGGCCGAATGTGGGAATGATGTTTTATTGAACGCATGATATGATGGATGCAAGTTGATGTTTGTGAACGCAGCGGTATATCGAGAATGGAAGGGGATGACGTGTGAGATGACAGAATGACAGATAGATGAACGACGACGAACGAAGCACGAGCACGACGGAACGATTAAAATTTATATGAATAGTATTGAAATAAAACGTGGAAGTAGTAAACGCGAAACTTTTATTAATTGTCTGAAGCCTGCATCCCACATAAATATAAAAAAATTACATTACGTCAAAATACTGGAGTTAGGGTGAGATTCAGGACATGCTATGTCTTTAACGGCTATGATAACTTAAAATCTAGTTTTAAATATCCATTAGAAAGATTGCATCACTCAAGAACAGTTTGACTATCATCATCATCAGTCCCCTCATTCACTGCTGGACATAGGCCTCTCCCAATTCACATTACTGAGCCTGTTTTTCGGCTCACCCCATCAATTTCTTGCCGGATACTCTTTGAAGGCTATCACACTACAGAGACAGGGGGTTTATTATTATTACTACATTAGATTTGACCAAGCACAGATAAAAACATAAAAACGTTTATGAAAACTTTAATCAAACACATACTTTTAAAATCTCATATATGGAATGGCATCATATTAATCTCTACTCAATAACAGTCCAAGGAATTGATTTCATCGTCCACATCATACATGCCGAGTACATCATCAAGTAATGATGAAATACTTCTAATACCTTCAGACCAACGCCTCTTCTCTTTAATAACCTGTTTAAAATCTTTACTCTTCAGGTAATTGACAAAAAGACTTGGAGTTACCAATTGTAACAGTTTGATTTTTGGTTTTAATTGTTTCTCCGGTATCTGTACTTCAGTTTGCAGTGACATGTGCCTCTCATATATGTTTGCTAATAAGTTTATGTCGTCTGCTTTTAGTATCCCATCAATAACACTATCAGAAGCGGTTGCAGTGTCGACATCGGCCATTTCTTCCGAATTACTATTGCTATCTGATTCTTCTTTAATCGTCGATAGCAATTCGTCTATCGATTGCGGGTCACCAGGTCTTGCATTAAGACTTTCTGGAACTTTATGTTTGTTAAGAATTTCTAATAATTCATCACATATATTTAAGGCACTCTCCATAATCTCTGATTCTGTATCGTCATGTAACAACTTTACTAATACAGTCAAGCATCCTTTGGAACTGAGTTCGTTTAGTATTTGAAACAATCGTCTTTGAATTTCGGTTTCATTCAGAGTAACTATTTTTCTCGACTGCCTTGAAAACGTAACTGGGGGGAATACACCGTCCAACATTCCTTGGTCGGTCAGCAATGATTCTAAAACTATCTTCCAAAACCTTAAAGCACTCAACTGGACTTCCCAGTGGAAATCGCAAATTGCAGACGACACCATGTGTTCGTATATCACTTGTTTGAAGTTTGGACTAATTTTTAAGTTCTGGTACAAGTCACACAATACGTTGCAAGCTTCTTTGCGTACGATTCCTTCCGGGTTGTTGCGTAATATACTGACGGTTTGTTCCTGGAATAAAACAGAATTAAATTCCTAATTGTTTTTCTTTATCAAATACTTTTTTTTTGCTTACATGAGCTGACGAGCTCACAGTCCACCTGGTGTTAAGTGGTTACTGGAGCCCAGAAATCTACGACGTAAATGCGCCACCCACTAGGAGATATAAGTTCTAAGGTCTCAAGTATAGTTATAACGGCTGCCCCACCCTTTAAACCGAAACGCATTAAGTTACTGCTTCACGGAAGAAATAGGCAGGGCGGTGGTACCTACCCGTGCGGACTCACAAGAGGTCCTGCCACCAGTAATTACGCAAATTATAATTTTGCGGGTTTGATTTTTATTACACGATGTTATAATTATCCATATCGATAATTATACTTTTTTAAAGAATAATTGGCGTACGAAAATGAGCGGCGGAGGGCTCTATAAGTGTGAATGGGTCAATAACTTAAAACCATGACTGGATTGTTTTATTACCTGAATTGTAGGAAACTCAGCGGTCAACAGTTCCCATATAGCGTTGACCTTGCTGGCAGCCCCGATACACTTGAGCGCAGAAACTTGAACGTAAGCCTCGTAGTCGTTGAAGGCGACCGTCGCGGCCACGTTTATGAGTTTGTCCTGTATTATTTGCTTCTGGAACGGTGGGAATTCTGGAAAGAAGGAAACCGAACGTCGCATTTCAATATTTTGTTCTATCGCTTTATATGAGCACGCAGATTTATATTNGTTGACCTTGCTGGCAGCCCCGATACACTTGAGCGCAGAAACTTGAACGTAAGCCTCGTAGTCGTTGAAGGCGACCGTCGCGGCCACGTTTATGAGTTTGTCCTGTATTATTTGCTTCTGGAACGGTGGGAATTCTGGAAAGAAGGAAACCGAACGTCGCATTTCAATATTTTGTTCTATCGCTTTATATGAGCACGCAGATTTATATTTAAATATAATAATAGATCGCTCGAATATTTCAATCCGATAGTCCGGCCTTAGCGACAGCCGAATGCCGCGAAGTAACAGTTTTAAAATTCTATTGTAAACAAATCTCGATGGTTCTCAAAGTTTGCTTTAAATTGGTCACGACTTATGATTACAACGATTATGTTAATAATGAATAATATCAATTTGTGATTTCGAGCGAGGAACCTTTGCTTTTTACTGTTGGCTGCAAAATTGCATGGGTACTATAAGTTCCTACGAACAATTAAATAAAAGTTAATACATTAGGTGGCCCTGGTGGTTTTATTGGTATTGTACATGCGTATTAAATATCGTGCGGAAATTCATTTTTTTTATGATTGATATTTGTCAAGGTTGCTTGATACGGTACTGAATAAATACAACATAATTTTCAATAATTGACATTTTAAAATAACATAGCGCCATCTAGTAAGGATATAAGTTAAGTTTTTTATTGATTTATTTTTTATTGCTTACATGGGTGGACGAGCTCACAGCCCACTTGGTGTTGAGTGATTTCTGAAGCACATAGACATCTACAGAATAAATGCGCCACCCACCTTGAGATATAAGTTCTAAGGTTTCAGTATAGTTACAGCGGCTGCCCCACCCTCAAACCGAAACGCATTACTGCTTCACGGCAAAAACAGGCAGGGTGGTGGTACCTACCCGTGCGGACTCACAAGAGGTCCTACCACCAGTAATTACGCAAATTATAATTTTGCGGGTTTGATTTTTATTACACGATGTTATTCCTTCACCGTGGAAGTCAATCGTGAACATTTGTTAAGTACGTATTTCATTAGAAAAATTGGTACCCGCCTGCGGGATTCGAACACCGGTGCATCGCTTCAATACGAATGCACCGGACGTCTTATCCTTGAGGCCACGACGACTTTAAAAGTCCCGTGTAACTACTGTAACCGACAGATGGCGTTACTTGTAGGTACATACGAACTTTACGCAGCCCAGCATACGTGCACGGTTCAGTTAGTTAACTAGCAGTAATAGCGAATGTAAGAAACTAACTTATAAACGAGATCTCGGTAATAACGTGTAACAACTCGAGCGCGGAGTCCCGCACCTCCCAGTGTAGGTCGTTTAGCTTCATGTAGATCAGTTTCCCGAGCTCGTGCATCGTGGAGCCCGGCTTCGACTCCAGCAGCAGCGACAGATTCGGCGGGAGGAACTTCTTAATCGTCACGGTTATTACATTCAGGGCTGTCACTACGAACTGAAATAAAAATCATATATCAACTATGTGTAAAGAAGCAAAATTATTGATACGAATAGTCGAACGAATATCGAAGGATCTAGTAGCACCTAGAACGTTCGAGGAGGACAACGCCATCTATTGTCAGATAGCGGAAACACAATACTAGAGATGTGTGGAATATTCTCGATAATTCTAAGGTTGTGGTATCGACTGTAAAAGCGTTGCAGAGATGGCACGCAGTCAGTTAGTAATCGGAACTACTCGAAGCGAAACAGCGAACGGATCACCTGAAGCGAAGCGGAAGAAGCGAATTGAGAATTTTAAAGTGTCTGTGAAGTTAGAATACTTTAAAATTCAATTAAATTCAAAACCAATTTTTCAAATGAAATACATACGTACTTAACAAATGTTCAAGATTGACTTCCACGGTGAAGGAATAACATCGTGTAATAAAAATCAAACCAGCAAAACTATAATTTGCGTAATTACTGGTGGTAGGACCTCCTGGGCGTCCGCGCGGGCAGGTACCACCACCCTGCCTATTTCTGCCGTGAAGCAGTAATGCATTTCGGTTTGAAGGGTGGGGCAACCGTTGTAACTATACTGAGATCTTAGATATCTCTTGACCACACCTTGGTGGGTGACACATTTTACGTTGTAGATGTCTATGGGCTCCAGTAACCACTTAACACCAGGTGGGCAGTGAGCTCGTCCACCAATCTAAGCAATTAAAAAAACTGGATCTTCACATGCTTTCCTTAAAAATAAACGGAAACATAAATTAAAATTAAAAAAAAAACCTCACCTTAACAGTTAAATTAGGTTTCTTTAGAATATTATAGACGACGGAATACAAACAAAGTACTTCTATACTTTCGTGCCAGTTTATATTGTGATTCTTGACGAGGAACAGAACGATGTCGAGGACGTAGGTCATCACGAAGACGTTATCTTGATTTTCGACCGAAGAATAATCCGGTTTGACGTCGCCGAAGTCGTCTATAGGGTCGTAGTCCCTCAGAGCGTAAAATAAAGCCTGGAACACAAGGTTCGCTTGCTCGTCATTTAAGCGATGTTTCAAACAGGTGAGCTTCTTCACGCTCTGCACGATAAGCGGCATCGTGTCCAACTCTAAGATCAGATCTCTCAGCGCGAACGATATCCTGGCCGTGGATTCGCACGACGAATTCAATAATGTCACTATGTAATCGTTTATGTTTTCGCGCGTCGCCTCCGATGGTGGTTTCCCTAGCTTGATAAACACCAGTATGGGAACGATGCACATAAACAAACTTTGGCTACGCAAATTGATCTGTCTCGTTCCGTGTTCTTTGCCATATTTCTCGACAGTTTTATCACCAAAAACTATCTTCCAAATAACGGTACAGAACGCAGAGAAACTGATTACGCACGAAGCGTTGCGCCTCGACATGAAAAACTGTACAGCGTTGAAGAACACGATCCCTAAATCGCGAAAATCCTCTCTGACATACTCGACACCGGGTTTCGCGGGTTTTTCCAGGAAAATCTTCACTATTGCAACCCAAAAGATAACCTTGGACAGTAGCAACGACGTTTCATCGTGGTGGATCCTGTCTATTACCACATACAAGTAATGCGAAATCTTAAACTCCTTGACTATCATGCTTAGAAGTAAGGTGGGTTGTTCTAGACGATTGTCTTTGCTGATTATGGCTATTAACATATTCGCCATTGGCTCTAAGCTCTTGCATTTTTCTTCTACGTCGTCACTTGTCAAGACTTTCATTCCCATGTAATCTTCCTCGCTAACTGGCCTTATTATATAACTAATAACTTCTTTGATACTGTTTACGTCTCTCAAATCATTTAGCTTCCACACGAATTCCGCAGCGAATNCTAGACGATTGTCTTTGCTGATTATGGCTATTAACATATTCGCCATTGGCTCTAAGCTCTTGCATTTTTCTTCTACGTCGTCACTTGTCAAGACTTTCATTCCCATGTAATCTTCCTCGCTAACTGGCCTTATTATATAACTAATAACTTCTTTGATACTGTTTACGTCTCTCAAATCATTTAGCTTCCACACGAATTCTGCAGCGAATTTATACGCTTGTCTTATCACGAAGATCGTTGTTTTTTCATTGACCAAACTTAGGATTTCTTTCCACACCCCAGTTTCTAAGAGCCAAGAAACTCCTGAACTGTGGTTGACAATGGCCAGAGCTACCTCCGTGAATGCTACCCTGAGACTGGGATTGATATTGGGAGAGTTGATACGCTTAAGTTCCTGTAATATTATGTCCCCTTGAGGACAATTGAACTTCGTGAAATTGAGTTCCGTTTTGCAAACGATCCCGAGTACTCTCGTCAGAAATACTTTGGCGCTGACGTGAGCATTTTCACTTTTGTTTATCGCTTCCAATAATAGATTAGTTAAAAACGGTAATGATCCGAGAAAGGAGATTTCTGAAACAAAAATTTAATTCCATACATAAACACAGCCAGGTTCTATGAGATTTTTTCAGTTCAATTCTCTATATACGCTTCACAGAACATGTGATCATTAGTCCATTCGATTGACTACATCAATAGTTTATCAATTTAGTTATAAGACAACACAGCCCGCCTGGCGTTAAGTGTGTACTGGAGCCCATAGACATCTACAACGTAAATGCGCCACCCACCTTGAGATACTAGTTGTAAGATCTCAGTATAGTTACAACGGCTGTCCCACCCTTCAAACCGAAACGCATTACTGCTTCACGGCAGAAATAGGCAGGGTGGTAGAACCTACCAGCGCGGACTCACAAGAGGTCCTACCACCAGTAAGTATGAAAAATCGACCTAAACTATATAATGTTTCTTCAACTTTTAAACGTCGTCATTCTGTAAATGACAAGACGCACGGCTTACTCTAATTGAACGACTAAACCGGTGTTCAAATATCACAATCACACAATCATGTACCGAAAATTTATGGAAATGTACTAAATATGTACATGTTCGCGATTGACCTCCACGTCGAAGGAATGACAACATGTAATAAAAATGGTGCCATAATTACTGGTGATAAGACAGCTCTTATACGATACGATTGAGACATCGACGTTGTCTCTGAGATTGCGTGGCGGTATTCAAGTTGTGATTTTTACCACATAGGCCGGGAACTATTCTACCCATAGCGATAAAAAAATAAACAATCGCCTCGTTGGTCTAATGTTTAATAAGGACCTTCACTAGTGGCACTATAGGGTCATTAAATAAAAAAAACTGGCCACTTCTTGTTGATAGGGTCCATTAATGAATTAGCATGTTTATTCGAAATTCGAATCACATACAATAAAATATATAAAGTACTAGCCGTACTCGCCCGTTTCGCTGGGCATTTAAAATTAACATTATTATTTATTGCCATTATTATTAGGGAGTCCAACACTCATATAAATATTAGCCTATCCATTAGGTACATGTATTTTCTACATGGATACCAAGTTTCAAGTCAATCGGATTCATGGTTCAGTAGTTATAACGGAGCATCCGTAAAAACCACTAGATTTATATATTAGTATATAGGTGTAGCTTGACTATAAAAAACAAATAAAATATGTATGTAAATACTGTATGTACATGTTATGATGTATTTATACGTATTTTTTTTAGAACAAATAATCACAAAAATTTTCCACCACTTTTAAAAGTAAATATTTGTTTCTCTCTTTTTTACCACGGTAAAAACTACTTAACCATACTTGATCATTGATAAAGAATTATCTCGTCGTTGCCGACGTTAATAAACCGAATTTCACCGCTATATCGGGTAGCTAGAGTCGAAGTTTGGGTGCTATTAAAATAAACGGTTAAGCTACATATTGGAAATAGGCATTTTGTGGTGTGAATTTGATATCAAATCGAGTGGTTTTAGCTAAAATAACCAGTAAATTTACTGCTATATTAATAGATATTCATCATCATGGTTCCAAGCCGGTTTCGGCCACAACGACCAAAATTTTCTGTCTAATAACTTAAAAGCTAATGTCCGCGCCTCGACACGATCTGACCACAATATGTTCATTATCTCTCGGAGGTATTTAATGTGAAATCTATCCAACACGCGCATATGTTTGCGATACAAACACCATGTTTCCGAAGAGACTAGACAACACAATTGACATGTATACTTTTATTTTAGCGTTTAGAGAAGTTTCGTCTCGTTTTTACCATCGCACCGCCCGCTACCGGAGTAGTTCTTCCACAGTGCGTTTCCAGAGATCTTTTTTGCCACGTACCATCCGACTATGGAATGAGCTCCCCTCCACGGTGTTTCCCGAGCGCTATGACATATCCTTCTTCAAACGAGGCTTATGGATGGTATTAAACGGTAGGCTGCGGCTCAGCTTTGCCCCTGGCATTGCTGACGTCCATGAGCGACGGTAACCACTCACCATCAGGTGGGCCGTATGCTCGTCTGCCTATACAGCAATAAAAAAAAAGGTCATGCGAACGAAACACTTTATCCCGGAGCTTCCCAAACGCCGCTCTTTTCTACCCCCCTCCCCGGCTGAGCGGGGGAAGGTATGCTTCTCTAAACAGAGCAGATTCGTCGCATAGTGTGCTACCTAATTGCACCGTTGCTCCGGGTCGATGCAGAAGTGACCACACTTCCTATGCCGACTCCGTGCAGACATCAAAGCCTAATAAGCATCAGTATCAGACCTCTCTACCTTTGTCCATCGCTAAAGAACTTAATTACAGCGTCCAGTAAACAGTAAACGGAAAATGGCATTTGCGCACACAAATACACTCTTCTTCTTTGTTTTCTGGACCCGAGTGTAACGGAAACCCGCTACAATAGGGAGAAAACGGATAAAAATGTACAATCTGTTTTTAGTATGGCGAGGATCATGGCCTCCTGGATTTTTTTAGTCGCGCATGCCCGTGACGGAGCCAAAGGTTTCGCCACAATTGGATTGGTTTGTCGTCATGGTAGCCATGACCGACCAACCATCAGACATCTAAAAAACAAAAAAGAATTTATCCAAATTTTAGCAGCTAGCTACTTGTTTCCATACGGCTCACTTGAAATCAAATTCATCGGGAATCACATAGTTCGGTTTCGCGCTTGTGTCTACAATTAACAAACAACACAAAACCTGCGAAATAAATCATTCAAATTGTATAAACTGGCAGCACATCTGCCCAAAATGAAGAGTAAAAAAAAACGTAGCATAGCAAATACGCCTTGCGATATTAATAACATCGACACCTTTATTGACAGAGTCTAAACATTTTATGGCTTATCAATAGTTATCATACAACGTCCAAAATTTGCCAAATCATCGTAGAGATGACAAATCTAGTCGGCGACCGATATCACTATGACACTGCTGTAATGTTTTTTTAATCACCACGATAAGGGCTAGACAGACGACGTGATTGACAGATTTGTGGGAACTTTTAGTTAGAGCATGTACAAGTGTAGTGTTGGTCACGGGGTCCGCACTCACATAAACACCCTATAAAAAATCATTTAATTACATTTTTGCCGTTATAGCCGTCGGAGCACCGTGGTACGTGAGGAATCTTCACGACGACCTATAATTAGAATCGATACGTATCTGAAGTCGGCGTTGGAGGGCTACTTTGAAAAAAACGGCGCGGCACGATAACCCTCTTACCGTGGCCACCGGTAACTAAATACCCAATCCCAAGGACCAAACGGTAAACAAACACCGTCCCCCAAATCACGTCACTTCTGATCCTCCCGATCCCCTATCGGTACTTTTAGGCATTCCAAATACTGGTCACTATTCTCGTCGAACCCTCTGAATGCAACGAAAGGTTCGTCGTGAAAATCAACCCACAGACACAGCCCACTGAGTTTCTCACAGAATCTTCTCAGTGGATCGCGACTGATCCGGTGGGAGTTTCAGTGAAGCACTGCCCTTGCTACGGCTGGGGTTAGCAGTCGCCAGGCTAAGCCCCTTAAGCTCGCTTACATGTCCGATAAAGCTAGGATAACCCCTCGAATTTACTAGCATAGGTAGACAAAAAAGACATGAAAATTTCAGCGCAATTCAGGTGAAATGTCTCATGTTCCTTAATAATCTCTACATATTGCTCATGCTACATATTACTACATATTACATATTATTCTGTAACTTTGAACAAATAAAGATACATTCTTCGATGTTACTTATAGATGACAATGTTGCCTTAAAATACTTTATGCTTGTTAGCTTTTAATCGCGAAGAAAATGAAGCGCAGCATTAGCAAATCCATATTGAAACAGTTTTGGTAAATAAAGAAACCTGTTATTCACCAAGAGATTATGTAAAAATGCTAAGCATGATTAAAATCAAAGTCATATATATACTAGAGGGAACAATGGTTGCAAAGGTACAGTTTTTTTTTTACCTATGCTGATAGCCTTGATAGGCTATTTTAGCTTCTTCTCGACGTGTAGGTGAGCTCAAGGGGCTCAAACCGGTGTGTTGCTAACACTGGCCTTAGCAAGAGCAGTGCTTGGCAGAATCTGCCACCGGATCGGAAACGCGACCCACCGAGAAGATTCGACGAGAAACACATTGGGCTGTGTCTATGGGTTAATTTACTCGTCGAGTCCTTCGTCGCAAGCGACGGGTTCGACGAGGACGGTGACCGGTGCTTGTGGTACCTAAAAGCACCGTTACTGGACCGGGAGGATCCGAAATGACGTGTTTAGGGCGACGTCGACTGTTTACAGGTACAGATCCCATTTCGGTAAAGCGGCACGATACGAGAACCCTTTCGTCGTGGCCGCCGGTAACTACATAGCCGATCCTGCGGACCAAATGGTAAACAGTCGACGTCGCCCAAAACACGCCATCTCGGATCCTCGGATAATTTATTATTATCATCTTATGATAAATGGTTGTTAATGACCTTTTAACTATACTTAATTCAAAGAATAACTATGCTATAGGCTACCAATACTTCTCATAGTTGTCATCCAATGATTAGTAACTAGGCGGGTACTACATGTGAATTAACCGAATATTGTAGAATGTACAAATGATGCATTGTGTACAACTTATCTTACTTATATAAGCATAGGCTTGGTTCTCTAATTAGAAGTTTAAACCGAGGAAGCTTGTGGCCTTCTAATCATGTACAGAATGAAACAGTGTGGCTGCATGTATTTTTTTTTTATTGCTTAGGTGTGTGGTCGAGCTCACAGCCCACCTGGTGTTAAGTGGTTACTGGGGCCCATAGACATCTACAACGTAAATGCGCCACACACCTTGAGATACATGTTTTAAGGTCTCAGTATAGTTACAACGGCTGCCCCACCCTTCAAACCGAAACGCATTACTGCTTCACGGTAGAAATAGGCAGGGCGGTGGTACCTACCTGTGCGGACTCACAAGAGGTCCTACACACTTGATTTTTACTACACGATGTTATTCCTTCACCATAGAAGTCAATCGTGAACATTTATTAAGTACATATTTCATTAGAAAAATTGGTACCCGCCTGCGGGATTCGAGCACCGGTGCATCGATAGATACGAATGCACCGGACGTCTTATCCTTTAGGCCACGACGACTTTAATTAGTAATTGTTCTACTGACATGCAAAAAATATTACAATTCTGATATTGCTGCAGTTCCAGTTCTCAGTATGCCATGTACTGCTCACATTTAGTGGTACACGAAAAGGAACTTAAGTGCCTATACAACCGTGACGAAGTCCAACTTTTTTGATAAATCAAAAAAATAATAATTTTAATATGATTTCAAAAACCAATTATTACAACTGAAGACAACAGAAATCATCAATTAGTAGTTACAAAAATATAAACAAAGACATCTGGAATAATAAAATATACTCTATCTAAAAATAATATTTTTCTCTTAAAAATTATTGGAATATTACCTAATTAGAATTGTTCTTTTTTTTTTTCTTATTAGGATTGTTAAGAAAAGTTGATGAGCTGTTTAAATGTCTTCTAGAATGATCGAAAGCTGACAGATGAATGTTTATGTTTTCAATCTGTTCGGATGTATTTGCATCTATAGATTGAGACTCATACATGTTTAAGAAAATTAAATCATTATCCAACATCATTTGTAATCAAATTTCAGTCTAATAAATAAATTAAGTATTTGAAAAGCACATATTTAACATGTGTCAATTATAGCCATAAAAGGCCAACTTCATTCAACATTACTTGCAATTTAAATTTTTAAATTTCATTGTTGACAGAAATATGGCAAAACAGGCTGCCAATTAAAATAAATTGTGACTACTGACTATGATGACATGATATTTTTGGTCAGCTGAAAAAATTTAACTAACACATATTGTTTTAACCTTAAAGGATCACACAGTTTATATTTTTAAAATGTTTTTGTTTATTGTCCTTGCAGGCAGACAAGCATACGGCCCACCTGATGGTGAGTGGTTACCTTCACCCATGGACTTGAGTAATGCCAGGGGTAGAGCCAAGCCGCTACCAACCATTTTACAAGATTTTACTACTTTTTTAAGAGACAAAATTTATTGATGGAAATTAAGCTTTATTTCTGTTTTGGATACTACCATTAATAATCATTATTACAAATACTTAAGATCTAAGAAATAAAAAATAACAAAAAAAATTAAGATATCTTCAATACCTTTCAAGGTCCAACTGATTAAATTATAATTCCATGAGAGCTTGCAACATTTGTTATAACATTGAAATTGATTTTTAATTAAATGCAGAGTATTGTATTGTCTATTGGTAATATAAACTGTATTTATGAATGACATAATATATTTTTTAAGGGATTGTATGACCTTTATGTCATGTCTTATTTTAGTTTTTATTCTTCTTTCTATGAAAAATGATAATATGGAGTGGAATGAAATGAAATGATATGAAGATGAAACTAAAGGAAAATAGATGATATTGGATGGAAAATAATATCAGTGAAATGGTGGTCATTTACTGAAATTTATTTTGTGGACTTTTTGTAGGATCCCGAGAAGTTATGTCCAGCGGCTTTGTTTCATTTTCCCACATTTGTGCACTTTCACAGATATTAAACAGTTAATAAACCACCATTATTACACATTTAAACCTGAAGAAACAAATAGACAAAATAAAACAAATCACACAACTTCACTCCTCACATTCCGCCAAAAAGTCCACATAATAATTATTGCATATATTCATTAAATTTAAAATTAATATTGTATGATTTTTATTTTAAATTAAGTTAAATTTAATATTGTATGATATTAATTTTAAATTAATTTACAATTTAGACTGTTACCTATTAATTATGTAGAATGCTGAAATTCTCATATGGATAAAATAGAATAAAGATTGAACGGGTTTTTTTACCATACCATACGGTTTCAAAAAAAAAAACGGAAAGGGTAGACTAAAAAAAGGTTTTTTAATACATAAGAATTTCCAATACCTATTTGAGGCTTGTATCTATCAACATTTATGTCTACTAAGTAATTAAAGATTTACCTGGATCCGTGCTGGCATTCGTCAGTTTGTTTATTAAGCCATCAGCATAATAACTATTAAGTACATAATTTGGTTCAAGAAGTTTCTCAAACAGTAGTTTCAATTTATTTTGCACACGACATTCCTCCATTGCGACCACGTGACGATAATAACTACCTACTCGATATTTATTCTGTTAATTTATGAACATTTTTAATATGTTTTTGTTATAATTATTTTTCTATTACTTGCGGTTTTTAGAACCGTGCTGTGAAAAACAACAAAATTAACAAAACAAATGTCACAACCGACCGAACGACTCCAAAGGATAATTTGCTGTTTACATTGACATTAAATCTGTCAATTTGACACAAGCCAACATTTGACTTTGAAAGTTTGCCACTTGTGATTGAAAACAACAAAACTAAGGGAAATCAGACTAAAATAATATTAAGCTGAGAATATGCTCTAATTTTTTTTTTTTTTTTTTCCTACCTAAGCTGTTAGCCCTAGCGGCTATGTCAGCGTAACCCTAACTTTAGTAGGTGAGCTCACGGGGCTCAAACCTGACGATGTTGCTAACAGAACCCTAGCAAGAGTCGTGCTTCGCAGAATCTACCACCGGATCGGAAACGCGACCCACTGAGAAGATCCGGCGAGAAACTCAGTGGGCTGTGTCTGAGAGTTAATTTACTCGTCGAGCCCTTCGTCGCAAGCGACGGGTTCGACGAGAACGAGAATATGCTCATGACTCATGTATAACTAAATAGGTATCCATGTTCCCCTTGCGAAAACTATTAATTTAAAATATGTACTCTAACGCAATACCATTTTAGAAAACCATGGCTCTAGTAATAAGCTACCTTTATGCCTAGTTTACATTACGAAATTAGTGTCATGCATGTTGAGCTCAGTTTCACGAAAGTAGTTTCGATATATGCGAAAGTAATTTCGTTAAAAAATTAGCGTCGCGAAATCAACAGTATCGCAGTAACCATGGCGCCTTCAGCATCAAAGCTATAATTTGCTATAATCAAATGTAGCTAAAGAAATGCTTATATACCTATAAACTTAAAAAAAAAGACTATCAAGAAAAAAAAAGTTGGTAGATTCGAGGATGGTCAACAAGAAGGCATTTAGGTGCAATGAAGTTAGTCTCTGAATTAGCAGATGAAAATCCTGAGAGTTATAAAAACTATTTTCGAATGAGTCAAGATAATTTTGATTTTTTACTGTAGGTGTTTCGGGACCCTTGTCATTGATATTCATTAATAAGATCTATATTTTTATCTGTACTCCATCGTTAGTTTGCCATTTTCAACGCTTGAAGCGCGTCCGAACTAACAATACACACGTCCGCACAGCGCAGGCCCTTTCGCGACATTAGTTTCACGTCGCGTCTACACTATGAAATTAGTTGCATGACACTAATTTCACCAAAAAATCGCGCAGGGCACGAAACTAATTTGCATGCATGAAATTAATGCATGCATTACGAAAGTATTAAATTACACGTGAAACTGTTGGTAAAACTAATGTCACGAAATTA